TTTTTTGATTTCTTGGTAGATTTCGTTTATTTTTTCTTTGGCTGCCTGTTGTTCACTTTCGGGTCTTTCACTTTGTTATTTCAATATTCATATATTATTAATTTTTAAATTTTTTTCGATTAAACTTGGTTGGATGTTGGTGTAAATGTTAAAAAGGATGGTGATTTCTTTAAAAGAGAAAAATTGGGTTAAAAAAGAAATTAGTTATAGCCAAGGACGAGGTCATGAGTGAAAATATAAGAACCAAAAAATAAGCATTCACCAATTAGAGGCTTATTTGGTCTACTTTCTATTCCTCCAAAGCCAAAGTCAAATGTAAGGATGCTTGGATTTTTCTCATAACTGATTTATCCAATTGCCTCAAGTAGTCTCCCAATCTTTTTTTATCAATAGTGGTAATTTGGTTGGTCAAGGCCTTGCCCTTTTGGTTATTTATTTCAGTCAGCACCTCAAACGGGTAAATCTTATCCAGTTGAGAAGTTAAAGGAATAATGGTGATTAAGGGACTATAAAGATTTTGCTGATTATTAGAGATAATTATTCCAGGATGAGGACCTTGTAATTCATGGATAATGCCTTTTTCTTTTTCCTCGGGGCTAGGTAAAGATAAATTAATTCAATAAACTTCTCCTCTCCTGATTAACTGTTGAGCCATTATTTTTTCTCTTTTTTAATTCTTTCAGCCCAATCACTAACAGCGGCCTTTTCTCATTTTTGGGCCTCCTGATATCGTTGGGGATTTCTTCATGCTTCCTGGTAGGCCCTTCCTAGTGCTGCTTCACTGATTTTTTGGGGTTTTTCTTCTTCGTGATAAACTTCATAATCAACCTGTTCTTGCTCCAAAAACTTCTTTATTTTTTCACTCTCGTGAGTTTTAATAATAATTAATTCAGTCATAATATTTATTTTACCCCAAATTCTTGCCATGGTAAACAGGGTGATTATTACTTACCACACTCCCTAAACTATGAATAATAGACGGATACTCCTTCCACACTCAATCCTCCCTCAAAAATAATTCCACATATAAATTTCTGGGATTAATATGATTATAACCCTCCACCCGATAGAAACGAAAATATTTCTGATGAAAATTTACCACTCCTAAATAAGGATTATTCAAACTAAATCCTTTTCTATTTTGAGTAGCCACTACCAATCCCCTCTCACTATCCTCCTTAATGGCTCCCAATTGAAAAAAAGGTCTGCCATCAGTAATATTTTCAGAACCTAATAAGAAAAAATTCTCAATTTGTTCTTTAAAATTAATTAACAGACATTTTTTTCTTTCCTTACAATCCCAGCCTTATCGACCAGGATTTCAGGTCTCATCTGTCTATATGTATATTTTACTCTTTTTGCCTCACATATTCATTAAATATAGGTCTAAATATAAATTAAATATATTATTTAACCCTTATAAATAAGAGTTTAAAAACTTTTTTATAATGGCAACCCTTAACCAATCCAATCTTTTAACTCCCCACGAAATCTACACCCGAACAGAACTCTGAAAAGATAAGATTTATTACCTTTCCCGCAATCCTTACAAATTCCCTAAAAATAACGGACAAGGAGATTTTCTCCCTTTACCGAAAAGATTTGCCGAAATAATTACCGAATTTAAAGAAGAAGTAAACAAGCAAAAACAAAGTGAAAGACCCGAAAGTGAACAACAGGCAGCCAAAGAAAAAATAAACGAAATCTACCAAGAAATCAAAAAA